TCTCTCTCTCTCTCTCTCTCTCTCTCTCTCTCTCTCTCTCTCTCTCTGCTTTGGACTCCTTTAGATGCGTCGGACATTCCCTCTCCCTGATAATGGAGAAGTCACATCTGCAGTTTCTTTGCTGTGCCCCCTTGCATATATCTGGTGCCAAAACCCTCACAAGCAATGATCAACTGCACTTCCTTGCTTATGTCTTTGTAAACATTGCTCACACTCAGAGCTGCCTTCCATGGGGTGGCTGCTTTGGAAAGCAGAGCTTCCTCAGTTGCTAAGGCGGTTCCCTCTGGTGCCTTTTCTACCTGTTCACCTGCTTGCTTGCTCTCTGTCTTCACATCAGCTTCAGAAAGCCTTCTCTGAACTCATCACCACATTTGACTCTTACTCATGTTTCTCACATTTCCTTCATATTACAGTTAATGGTGCTTCTTTGTTGACTCCTTGGGGTACCCCTAGACTGATAAAAAGATTAGGGGCCATTGTACTCTAGTTACTATTTGTTTTAGTGTTTCTATTGCTATAATAACACCATGACCAAAGCAACTTCAGAAGGAAAGGGTTTATTTGCCTTACACATCCACATCACAGTCCATCCCTGAAGGAAGTCATGGCAGGAACTCAAGCAAGGCAGGAACCTGAGAAACCTGGAGACAGGAGGGGACGCAGAGGCCATGGAGGAATGCTGCTTACAGGCTTGCTCCTCACAGCTTGCTCAGTCAGCTTATAGAATCTAGGGGCACCATGGGCTGGGTGCTCCCACATCAATCACTAATCAAAGAAATACCCTACAGGTTTGCCTACAGTCCAGTATTATGGAGGTAGTTTCTCAATTGATGTTGCCTCCTTCCTGATAACTCTAGGTTGTGTCAAGTTGACATAACCAGTGAGCACACTACTGAATCCCAAAGCAATTCTAAATGAACAGTTAATGGGAAGAGGACCAGATGATGGCAAGGACCTCTCCCACTTCTGACCAAACCAATCACCCCAATTTGTTTCTATGACCAAGGTCTAGTTACTCCACAGCCATGCAGATGGTGGACACCACGTGAGCGGGGTCCAAGACAGAGTTACGGTTCCAATGTGGAAGTCAGTGTCTTAGTCACTGTCGTGTTGCTGTGAAGAGACATTATGACCAAGGTAGTGCTTATAAAGGAAAGCGTTTAACTGTGGACTTGTTCAGAGTTTCGGGAGTTTAGTCCATTATCATTGTGGAAGGAAGCATGGAGGCAGGCAGGTATGGTGCTGGAGAAGTAGCTAAGAGCCATATGCTGAGAGAGACTGGATGTGGAATGGGTTTGAAATTTCAAAGCCCAACCCCAGTGACACACTTCCTCCAACAAGGTCACACCTACTCCAACAAGGCCACACTTCCTAATCCTTCTCAAACAGTGCCATTGCCTGTTGACTAAGTATGGCTGTTTGAAGGAAAATGGCCCAAAAAGGGAGTGACACTATTAGAAGTTGTGGTCTTAATGAAGAAAGTGTGTCACTGTAGAGGCGGGCTTTGAAATCTCATAAATGCTCAAGCCATGCCCAGTAAGACAGTTCACTTCCTGCTGCCTTTGGATCAAGATATAAGGATTCTCAGCTCCAGCACTATGCCTGCATGATATAGACTAAACCTCTGAACTGTAAGAGACCATCCCAATTAAATATTTTCCTTTACAAGAGTTGCCATGGTCGTGGTGTCTCTTCACAGCAATAGAAACCCTAAGACACTAAGCATTCAAATATATGAGCCTATAGGGGTCATTCTTATTCACACCAGCACAATCAGCATTGCCTCATCTCTGCCTATGGACCATGGACCTTTCTCTCTATGAACTGATAAAGAAAATATTTCTACAACATGGGAGGGAGGGTAGGAGGAGGGCTGGTGCCTATGGCTGTGCTAAACGTTAGATTACACCTTCATTCCACAGTGTCTTACATTTCAGCTTCATAGTGATATGGAGCAGGTAATGTGTTCCCTCTGCAGCCTCTTCAGCCACTTCTTTCACTGGGTCCCCACACAGCAGTGCCATCAGAGCCACCAGATGTCCAAGATTTTGGAACTGCAGGGGAAGCTAAGTGAGAAGGAAAGAAAAATGCCATCAGAATATGGGGGGCATGTCACCTTCAATTGGAGTTGTTGAGGAGTCCGCAACTCCAGAGAGGCTAAAAGGTCCCAGGCCCTTGGATCTCTGGGGGTTACTGTTTTACGTGTTTGCTATGACTCCTCCAGCCAAAGGGCAACCTAATCTATGAACACGTTCTAAAAATGAGGAGGCTTTGGCAATAATTATGTTCATCCCAACACTAATTTTTTAAATAGTTAATTAGATAATTCATCTTTCAAGCAAAGGTTTCTCTGTGTAGCCCTGACAGTTCTAAAACTCATCCAGCACTGTTTTTAAAGATTAAATTTTGAAAATATTTGCCTAGTAATGGAAAAGGATTTTATGGCATAATCATTCTATGAACATAACCACTAGAAATCAAGTGTCTGGCCTGGAGGCTTGGATTGTAGTATAACACATGCCTATCCTTTCTAGGGACCCAATAACATACAAGAACAAAACCCATCATGAAAACCTTTTAAACGAGAAATTTATGACACACTAAGCAAAAAAAAAAAAAAACAACAAAAAAAACAAAACCTATCAAAGTGAGTACAGCACTAATTCTTAAACATATTGATTAAAGTCAGATGCTGGTGGTACATGCTTTTAATCCCAGCATGTGGGAGGTAGTTCTCTGTAAGTTTGATGCCAGCCTAGCCTACAGAGCCAGTGAATTCCAGGACAGTCAGAGCTACACACAGAGAAATCCTGTTGCAAGATATTTGATTACACTGTGTAAATGCTGATATAGCATCTATATACATTAAAAAATAAAAAAATATTAAGCCAGTGCTGTGGAATACTCCTGTACACTGTGTGAATATATGTTGCTATGATTGGTTTAATAAAAAGCTGACTGGCTAATAGCCAGACAGGAAATATAAGTGGGGCAATCAAATTGAGGATAATGGGATAAAGAAAGGCAGAGTCAGAGCTGACACAGAGGGAGTCAGCCAGACACAGAGGGAGCAGATGAATATGTAATGCTAATAAAGGTATCACCACATGACAGAGCATAAATAAGGAATATGGGTTAACTTAAAAGAGCTAGTTAGTAATAAGCCTGAGCTATTGACTGAGCATTTATAATTTATATTAAGTCTCAGAATCATTTATTTGGGAACCGGCTGCTGGTTATTTGGGAGCAGGCAGTCAGGACAGGAAAACTCTGCCTACAAGCCAGGTATGGTAGTGCAAGTCTTTAACACCAGCAGTAGGGAAGCAAAGGCAGGTGGATCCCTATGAGTTTGAGGCCAGCTTGGCCTATAAAGTGAGTTCCAGGATAGCTAGGGCTACACAGTAAGAATCTGTCTCAATACATAAATAAACAAACAAATAGAACAAATTAAAACTAAAAACTACTTTTAAAAATTATTCATTTTCATTTTAGTGTGAGAAAGGGAGGGAGAATGAAGGAGAGGCAGAGAGAGAGAGAGAGAGAGAGAGAGAGAGAGATATGCATATATGGGCTCATCTGCCTCGACATAAGTGTGGAGGTCAGAGGATAATTCTGTGGAGTCAGTTCTTCCTTTCCACCTTTATGTGAGTCATGGGGCTTGAATTCAAGTAACCAGGCTTTCTAGTTCTAAAAGACTTTTTTTCTTTATTTGGTGTTTTGAGACAGGATTTCTCTATGTAACTGCTCTAGCAGTCCTGGAATTTACTTTGTAGACCAGGCTGGCTTCAAACTCACAGATCTGCATGCCTCTGCCTCCCTGAGTGCTGGGATTAAAGCTGTGCACCAGCACCGCCCAGCATATTTTTAAAAGAGAGGACCTCATTAAACTCACTATGCAGCTGAGGATGCTAGTGGACTTCTCCAATCTTCCTGCCTTTACCTCCTAAGTGCTGAATTAAAGGTGCATGCACTGTTTGACTGGCGAGGGTTTTTTGTTTTTTGTTTTTTTAATGTGGAGACATCTGAACTGAACACTAGAGTGAGTGGCTACATGGAGAATTGGGGCTGAGCATTCCAAGTAGCTGAAGTAGCAAGGTGAGCTTTAGGTAGTTAGAGATCTAGAAGAGACGAGGTTGTAAGGGCTGCAGAGACAGGCAGGAGCCAGCACATCAAGATCCTGAGTTTTAACAGCAAATGGAGTCACTGGGTTTGAAAGACCCCCGAGGGATGTCTTCCTTTCGAGAGAGGCCCCCGTACCCACGAATCAAACGAAACCACACTTACGGATGCAAACAGCAAGAGGTTTATTCGAATACACAGGTACCTGGGGCGACAAGGTCTCTCGGAAGACTTGCGCGCCCGTCAGGCTGGGGTGAGGGGTTTTTATAGGAGAGCAAAAGCGCGGGAACAGAAGCGAAAAGCGTGGTTACGGGTATTCATTTCATTGGTCAATTCAAATAAGGCTAAGAGTGCGCGCTCAGTGGCAAATTCTTGACCTTTCACCTAAATACCAAGGAGGGGGTTGTCCAGGAGCTTTGGCTGTAAATACCCTGACTCACATCCTGTCACAGGACAAAAGGCCTCCTCCCCCTTATTTTACAGGCTTGATTCTAATGCCTTTCATTTCAACATTCAGGGTGGTATCTTTTTTTTTTCCTTTTCAGGTAAATGAGGAGAAGGAGGGCAAAGAGGAAAAGAGGGGAAAGAGGGGGAGAGGGACAAAGAGGAGGATGGGAGCAAAGAGGAGGAAGATGGGGGCAAAGAGGGGAAGGATGGGAACAAAGAGGAGGAAGATGGGGGCAAAGAGGGGAAGGATGGGGACAAAGAGGAGGAAGATGGGGGCAAAGAGGAGGAAGATGGGGGCAAAGAGGAGGAAGATGGGGGCAAAGAGGAGGAAGATGGGGACAAAGAGGAGGAGGAGGGGGCAAAAGGGAGGAGATGGAGAAAAGAGAAGAGGGGGGAAGGGAGGAGGAGGGAAAAGAGGAGAAAGACAAGAAAAAGAGGAGGGGGGAGAGAAGGAAGGAGACAAAGAAGAGGAGGAGGGGCTGAGGAAATGAAGCCCAATTCCAGGATAAGGCAGAAGAAAATGACAACCAAAGCTAGAAAAGAAAGGGTGACTGGAGAGCCAAGAAGCTGCTGCAAGACTGGGAAGGTGGGACAGGGTTTAAGATTGCTTGCTCCACAGTCACAGGACCAGCGTTTAGATTCCAACACTGTGAAATAAGCCAGGTCCACTTGGTCTGACACTCCACATGTATGCCCATATACACATGTGCTGATACAGACAAGCACACACACACACATGCATGCCCATGTACACATGTGTTGATATAGACAAGAACACACACACATGCCCATGAACACATGTGCTGATACAGACAAGAACACACACACATGCATGCATGCCCATGTACACATGTGCTGATACAAACAAGAACACACACACATGCACGCATGCCTATGGACACATGTGCTGATACAAATAAGAACACACACACATGCATGCCCATGTACACATGTGCTGATACAGACAAGTATGTACACAAGTATGCCCATGTACACATGTGCTGATACAGACAAACACTCATTCAAGAAAATCAGCCCTTTTTAAAGAAGGTATTTCTAATGGATGCTTCTTACCCACCACTCTGAATTGTGACTCAGGAAGATAAACAGCGTTGATGGCGCCTCTGTCTGAGGGGCAGCAAGCTAATACTTTCCCTTTCCTCTACTTTAAAAAATATTTATTCTCTGTATTAAGTGTTTAGTTGGGGACTTCACCCCAGTCCTCCCCCCCACATCCATTTTGGAATGTTGGGCGGGAAAATTCCATTTCAAGCCACCTCCTCTGGGAGTTGCCTCAATCCAAACTCCACCTCCAAGAAAGCCCCAGGGAGGGTCAAGACCACTCCAGCAAGCTATTTAAATTGCCCCCACAGAAGGAACACAGGGTCTCCTGGTTTCCCCATGGTCATTCTGGTTTTCCTTTCCCTCTCAGTGTTTTCCTGGGGCGCCACCTGGGAGCGCTGGCACCCATTACACTTATCATTAAGTATGTTTATGTTCATAATGTCTTAGCCCTTCAGAATTCAAGACATAAAAGCCACAACCCAGCCTAGTGACCCATGCCTTGAATCCCAGTACCCTGGGGCAGAGGCAAGCTGAGTATGAGGTCAGCCAGGGAGACAGAATGAGATCTGTCTCAAACAATCAAACGCCATAAAACCTACAAGAGACTAGATTGGTACCTGATTACATCCTTAACATTTTTTTTAACTTTTTTCTTTAAGTTTTTTTTAATTTTTTCTCTTTTTTAAATTTTAAACAATATATTCTGATCATGGTTTCCCCTCCCTAATGCCTTCCAGAACCTTCCTACCCTGACCCACCCAAATCCACATTCTTTCTCTCTCTCATATTAGAAAACAATTAGGCAACTAAACAAATAAAACCTCAAATAAATTACAATAGGCAAAACAAACAGAAAAAAAAGAGACCAAGAAAACATATAAACAGAGACACACAGTCACTCACACAGAAATCCCACAAAAAACTCAACCAAATCAGAAAACATAATACATAAGGAAAATAATATAAAAAAAAATGCCAGGTGAGGGGGGGAGGGAGGAAGGATAGATATGGGTTCAGGGAAGAATATATCTCAACTATGGAAGTCAGTTTAGGGTTTACTAGAGACTTGACTGTAAATGGGATCCCAGGTCCAAGGAGAGATCCCCAGATTGTTCTCTGGACAGAGGAGAGGGTGCCTGAACTGGCCTTGGCCCATAACCATACTGATGAATATTTTGCTTATCACCATAGATCCTTCATCTGGCAATAGACGGAGATAGAGACGGGGACCCACGTTGGAACACTGGACTTAACTCCCTAGGTCCAACCGAGAAGCAGAAGGAAGAAGAACGTGAGAAGGGAGGGCAAGATCAAAGGGAACCTTCATCCGGCGATGGATGGCGATGCAGACGGAGACCCACATTGGAGCACCAGACTGAGCCCCCCAAGGTCCAAAGGAGGAGCAGAAGGAGGAAGAACATGAAAAAGGAAATCAGAACCGCAAGGGGAGCGATCATCCACTGATACAAGGCGACTGATCTAATGAGAGTTCACCAAGGCCAGTTGACTGGGACTGAAGGAGCGCTTGATCCAACCAGATTCTCTGGAGGAGGCTGGATTCTCTGAATGTGGCTGGCCCGAAGTCTTTCTAAAAAGCCATTGACAATGACTCTGGAACTTGTTTCCTCTGCATATTCTGGATTTTTGGGGATCCAGTCTGATTGGATACTCACCTTCCTGGTCCTGGAGGGAGCGGGGAGGAACTTGAACTACCCACAGTGCAGGAAACCCTGACTGCTCTTAGGGATGGAGAGGGAAGAGGAGAGGGAGTGGGGGGAGTGGGAGGGTGTTGCGAGGAGGGGCGAAAATGGAAACTTCTATATTTTAATAAACTTTAAAAAAAATAAAAAAAATAAAAAATATGCCAGGCATGCAAAGTAGAGATGTGTTACAAGTCATCGAACCACACACTTAGATTGGATGGTTTTTTTTTTAAATATAAATTATACTTCAATGTGAGAAAGGCTGTAGGTCTGAAGAAGGGCATGAGTCATGGCCTAAATCCACTCTGTTCCCCTCAGCTCTGGTTTTGCTTCTTTGCCTTTTCCTCCTCAGTCACTCTGCTGCAATCAGGCCTAAGCAATTAACGTTTTTTATGACAAGGAACTGAAACTAAGCCCAGCCACAGGGAGCTCTGCGGACAGGTGGCCACACCTCCTCTGCAGGCGGTGAGAAGGTGCGGCTGCTCCTGGGGCAGGAGTCACTGTTTCCTGCTAAGGGGCCTGTTTCTCTAGAGCAGTGACAACTTCCCCAGAGCGGAGAGCAAGGTCACCTGCTCGGTCAGCCGTGCACCCCTCCTTTACATTTCCCTTTGTACAGAATCTTAAAGTTCCTTTCAGCCCCTTAGAAACTGATCTGGGGTCACTGAATCTGGTCTTCCAACAATGGCTACACTGGTTACGGCTCCTTTCTCTGTCTTTCGCTCTTCCCTTTGGTTGGCACAAGGGGTAGGTGGCTAACACTAACTACAGGGACTCCCAAAGCAAGACCTTTTGCCCTCAAACTGATAACAGACGTTCTGCAGAAAGATTTGGTATTGTTATAGTCTTTGAGTTTGGTTAATTTAGATATGTAATATTTTTTGCAATTTTTTAAAAGAATTAAATTTAGAATAGATTATATATTTAATTAAGGATTCTAAAGTTAGAAAAGAAAAATGAAAAACACAGTAGAGCGAGTACATTACCCAGTTTCTACAAACAACTTCTAGGTGTTCATAAACCCAGTGGTACAAGGCTAAGTACTCTATACTCATAATCCTCTCTAGAAAAGAAAATACTAAAGATCTCAGGGCCACCCCTCCCCCCCACACACACAGAGACAGAGAGACAGAGGAGAAAGACAGAGAGAGAAAGAGAGAGAGAGAGAGAGACAGAGAGAGAGAGAGAGAGGGAAGAAGGAAGGGAAGGAGGGAGGGAAAGAGAGAGAGAGATCACGTGAAGCATTCTTTTAATCCACAGTGAATTAGAGGCTGAAGAATCAGAGGAATGCCATGCTGTGGCTGTCAGAATCATGAAGCAGTCAGTGATGACCAGAAGTCACTTGCTACAGGAGTTACTGGCTTCAGAGGTTACTAGAGTATAGAGAGCAGAGAGGTAACTGAAGGGGAGACTACATCTGTGTATTCACGCTAGGGGTGAGACACTTTGATGCTTTAGAGAGGGCTGCTTGGGGTCACCCATGCATGCTCTGTAAGTCAGCTAGCTCCATTCTCTGCCGTCACTGGCATTCTACTTGTGGGAGCAGATGCACATTTACGCCCAACCAGGGTGTATGCAACGTACAGTGTGGAGACATGATGGGGAGGGGAGAAGCTCCAGTGGCTACAAGACCTGCTCAGAGGAAGAGACACTGATTTGCAATAGGAAAAAGGAATAGATGCAAGAGAGGTGATCACAGTTTGGGGGGATTCTTTTTAGAAGCTACGGCAGAGGATTGACAACAACTAAAAAGTACAGGGCTGAAAGAGAAATACGAGGACTTAAAAATGGGATCCTTGCTAAAATAAACAGGCACGGGGGAAAAGAAAGTAAACTGTATTGTTCCAAAGGAAATTCCAATTCACCAGACTTCAAAAGGCGGTCCAAAAATCCAGAAATAGGCGCTGCTGGACTACAGGAGTAGTCTGTACTGGCAGTTAGGAAAAGCCAGCAGTCCTCACCAACTTGTGAAGCTGGTTCCCCTCTGGCTGAAATGAGGACATGACAGCTCTAAGGTAGGGCTGAGGAGAATTTTATTGTTCATATGAGGGAGAGAACAGCCAGAGGCATCTGGAAGAGCCCAGAGGGAATCAGTCCATGGTGGGGGCAGGGAGGGGGGTTTGATAAGAGAGAAAGAAGAGCAAGGGGACCAAGCGAAGAGCCAAGAGGAACCAGCAGAATGAATGGCCAAAATGACAGGGTTATTCTATAGGAAGGAGAAGCTTGGGTAAAGGAAGAGAAGCCCCTGGGGTGGAGAGAGTTCGTGTGGGGGTAGGGTGAGAAGCAGTGAGTCTGGAGGACAAGCAAACACTCTGGTATTCTAATAGGCACCACAGTAGCCATTTGCTTCTTTGGAACCTGACACCCTCTACCAAAAGGAGTCATTTCCCTTACCTCTGGCAGAAGGGATGTATGGCTACCTGTGTGTGGTGACTATCAGCACATCAAAGCTCATGCTGGCCTCCTTCAGTATCGCAAATACCTGTTTGACACGTTTCAAAGTTCTAGCCTGTGCTGGTTAGTTTATGTCACCTTGACACAAGCTAGAATTAGCTGAAAGGAGAGAATAGCAATGCATAAAATGCCTCCATAACGTAATGATTTCAGCCACCTAAGACTGATACTTCCGGGTTCTAGGGGTCATGCATGTGTAGACAAGCCCTCAGGCAGAAGTGCCTAGTGGCCTCCAGAGATGTTAAAGGGCCCCATGTGGTTCACTTAAGACTCAACTAAGCCCTTGCATGCATGTATGAGCCCTGTCATCTGTGTATGATGTACCACATCAACCCCCTGTGCACATGCACTAGGCAGCTTTTAAAAGCTGGATGTGCCATCTTTCTCTCTCTCTCTGCAAACTGACTTCCCCAGGCCTGTATGTGCCCCTCTAATAAACTCCTAAGCAGGTTTGTTGCATGTTCCATGTTTCCTTCTCACTTGTACCAGATAATTTCACATAGAATCTGGCTGTACGGACAGGAGAGATGACTCAGAGGTTAAGGTGATTGCTTTTCAAGAGGACCCAGGTTCAATTCTCAGCACCCACATAGCAGCTCACAACTGTCTCTAATTCCAGGATCCAACACCTCGGACAGACATAGATTTCCCTATAGAGTGTTTAGTCTAGGGTGTGAGTCAAGGGCATGAGCGAGGAGAATACACCCTGTGACTTTCAATTTGTTAACGCAGTCTTTTGTTCTAATCTTACCTTTTGGGGTAAGGAGTATATTAACCAGTTGGAAATTGGAAATAACCCAGTATCTTCTTATCTCTCCCTGTGAGTTAAGAGTGCCTACAGGCCTGCAGACCTGCAGGCTCCAGAAGTAATTAGCATTTCCCCTGTCTCCCAAGTGCTGGGACTAGATGCATGCACCACCATACTTAGCTTGACTTAATTTCTTCAAAGACAAACTACACATAGCTCAGTTTAGTGTGGACCCTTTAGATATTTTCAGGTTGTATTTATTTATTCATCTCTTCAGAAACATTTACTGCATTGTGTTTCAGCTGTCATGCTTAACAGGGATGCAAAGATAAATAGTATATGGCCTCAAACTCAGCACACTTTAGGATTGGGGCAGACATATAAATAATGCTGAGTACTGGGAAACTATACTTGCACCAGTGGAATACATAGCCCAAGCTGAGTTACAGAAGGAGAAAACAATAAAGGATGGCCTGCATGCTTCTTCCTCAGTCACTCAAGGTTACTCACTTTCAGGTTGAGATAAGAGGATAAGCATTTGAGGATTTGGGACATGATGGTTGTAGCCCGTTCTCGCTCATGGTCTTTGTCTGACTGTAACCAGGGCTCCATGTGCTATAAAAAATAAGGAAGGTCAAATGGTCTGTCAGGAATACATGAAGTAAAACTTGTACTCTGTTAGGAAAAAACATGTGAGGGGCTGGAGGGATGACTCTGAGGTGAAGAGCACTGGCTGCTCTTCCAGAGAACCCAGATTCAATTCCCAGCACTCACATGGCAGCACATAACTGTCTGTAGCTCCAGTTCCAGGGGACCTGGCACCCTCACACAGACATACATGCAGGAAAACACTAATGTTTTTTAAAATAAAAATAAATAAAATTTTAAAAGAAAACATGTGAAGTGAAAAACTCTATATTACTTCATTATCTAAAAACCTCTGCGAATGTGTTGCAAAATAGAATATTTGTTTCACTATGTAAAGATGTGTTGCTGTTTTCCCTTGCCTGCCTAAGGCACCTGATTGGCCTAAAAAAAAGCTGAACAGCCAATAACTAGGCAGAGGAAGGATTGGTGGGGCTGGCTTTTCTTAAAAAGGGGAGCCAGTCAGGTGTGAAGGACAGTACATAGATGAGATAAATGAGCCTTGGAACCGCACAGAGATAAATAGAAATGGGTTGATTTAAGTTTTTTTTTTTAAAGGTAGCTGGAAACAACCCTAAGTTAAGGCCAAATATTCATAATTAATAAGTCTCTGTGCTATGATTTGGGGGCTGGCAGTTCAAGAAGCCTACTACACTAATGATAAAGCAGATTACATTGGAAGTGATGGGTTGACAAGCAAGATATAAAACCCTGGCTCCTTCAAAGCTTGATTTCTAGATTTATCTCTGTTCATTTCAATACTTTATTCTTTTGTCTGTTTTCAGCATCTGCACTGGAATTTTTTTTTAATGATATGCTCTTAAAGAACTAAAGATGAGGGTGAAGGGTGGGGCTGGAGAGATGGCCCGGAGGTTAAGAGCACTGGCTGATCTTCCAGAGGGCCCAGGTTCGCTATGGTGGGACATGGCAGTGTGCAGGCACACATGGTGCTGGAGAAGGAGATGAGAGTTCTGCATCTTGAGGCAACAGGAAGTGAACTGAGTGGCTTGAGCATATGTGGTATTTCAATGCCCATCTCCACAGTGACATACTTCCTCCAACAAGGTCACAGTCACTCCAACTACTAGTGCCATTCTCTTGGGGGCCATTTTCTTTCAAACCACCACTCCTGACATTTCATTTACCTTAAAAATGTTGTCAAAATTTTCCAAGTGTGGATCTTTTACCACCAGACTCTGCAGCATCACAGAGAAGGCCTGGAACATCTGTCTGTAGAGACACTAAAAAGGTGCAGAATCAACACGGTTCCCTCCCAGAAAAGCTCCCCAAGCACCATGCTTATCTGAGGCTGCTCATCACTTCGAGGCTTTAGTAAAAGCCCAATCCAGAGCAAAAGCACCTGTAGGCAGTTTATAGTATAAGAGAAACACATGGGATTATTCTATTTTTTTATTTATTGAGGTTTGTTTTGTTACCAAGTATGTGGTCAATTTTTGAGATGGTTCCATGAGGTGCTGAGAAGAAGGTATATCCTTTTTTGTTTGGATGGAATATTCTATAGATGTCTATTAAGTCTATTTGAGACATAACATCTGTTAGTTCCCTTATTTCTCTGTTCATTTTTTTGTCTGACTGACCTATCCAGTGGTGAGAGGGGAGTGTTGAAGTCTCCCACTATTAGGGTTAGGTGTGGGGTTTAATGCTTTAGAAGTGTTTCCTTTACATATGAGGGTGCCCTTGTATTTGGGGCATAGATGTTCAGTATTGAGATTTCCTCTTGATGGATTTTTCCTGTGACTAATATGAAATGACCTTCCTTGTCTCTTTTGACTGATTTTAGCTTGAAGTCTATTTTGTTAGATATTAGGATAGCTACACCCGTTTGTTTCTTAGGTCCATTTGATTGATATATTTTTTCCCAACCCTTTACTCTGAGGCAATGTCTGTCTTTGAGGTTGAGATGCGTTTCTTGTATGCAGAAGAAGGATGGATTCTGTTTTCATGTCCAATCTGTTAGCCTGTGCCATTTATAGGTGAGTTGAGTCCCTTTATATTAAGGGATATTAACGACCAGTGATTGCTGTCTCCTGTTAATTTAGTTTTCATTGTTGGTGATGTTAATTTGTGCGTTTTTCCCTTTTTTGGGATTTGCTGCAATGAGCTCATCAATTGTGTTTTTGTTGATGTAGCCAACTTCCCTTAGTTGGAATTTTCCGTCTAGTATTTTGTGTAGGACTGGGTTTGTGGCTAGGTATTGGTTAAATCTGGTTTTGTCATGGAATATCTTGTTTTGTCCTTCTATGGTGATTGAAAGTTTTGCTGGGTATAGTAGCCTGGGCTAGAATCCATGGTCTCTTAATGTCTGCATAACACTTGACCATGACTTTCTGGCTTTCATTGTCTCCAATGAAAAGTCAGGTGTAATTCTGATTGGTCTGCCTTTATATGTTGCTTGGCCTTTTTCCTTTGCAGCTCTTAATATTCTTTCTTTATTCTGTATGTTTAGTATTTTGATTATTGTGTAGTGAGGGGACTTTTTTTTTTGTGGATCCACTCTATTTGGTGTTCTGTAAGCTTCTTGTATCTTCATAGGCATGCCTTTCTTTAGGTTGAGAAACTTTTCTTCTATGATTTTGTTAAATATATTTTCTGTGCTTTTGAGTTGAACTTCTTCTCCTTCTATACCTATTATTCTTAAGTTTGGCCTTTTCATGGTGTCCCATATTTTGGGTTAAGCTTTTGTTAGATTTAATGTGTTCTTTGACTGACAAGTCTATTTCCTCTATTTTATCTTCAGCACTTAAGATTCTCTCTTCCATCTCTTGTATTCTGCTGTTCATGCTTGCATTTGTGGTTCCTGATAGTTTTCTTATAATTTTTGTTTCTATAATTCCCTCAGCTTGTGTTTTCTTTATTGTCTCTTTCAGTTTTCAAGTCTTGAATAGTTTCTTTCATATGTTTAATTTCTTTTTCTTGGTTTTCTTTAAGGGATTTGCTGATGTCTTCCAATTTTTTGTTTGTCTTTTCCTCCATTTCTTTGAGGGAATTTCTCATTTCCTCTTTAAGAATTTCAAACATTCTCCTGAAGTTATTTTTTAGGTCATTTTCTTCTGCTTCATCTATATTTGGTTGTTCAAGTCTTGCTATTGTAGCTTCTTTAGGTTTTACTGGTGTCGTGTTGCTCTTTGTGGTGTTGTGTGTGTTCTTACCTTTTCTACTCATCTTTTCCTCTAATGGGTGTATTTGGGGCTGTCGGTGATTCTGTTGATTGATCTTCTAGGTACCAGTGAATCCAAAGCTCAGATTGTTGTTCCTCGTGGTACAGTTAATACCACAGTTCTAGTTACCCCTTTGGTCACTCCTTGTTTCTGGAGGTGGCTCAGTGCTCCCGGGCTTTACTCCATTCCCTTGGAGTTGGCTGTCTCAGGCCTGCTCTAGCCTAGGTTAGACCTGTTTCTGTAAATCCTAGTCTGGATCTGCTCCTGCAGAGGTCCCTGGCTTGGAGTTGGTCCTGCAAAGGTCTCTGGCTCCTGTCTACTACCTCAGAGTTCCCAGGCTTGGATGTGCCCAGGCCCACAGAGGATCTGGCTCAGGCTTACTCCCTCAGAGGTCCCAGACTCAGGCTCGGACTCAGAGAGGTTTCCGGTTTCTGCCTATTGCCTTTGAAGTACCAGACAAACGTCCTGACCCACAGAGGTCATGGCTCAAGCCTACTCCCTCTGAGGTCCCAGACTCACGCCTGGACCATCAGAGATATCTTGTTTCTGCCTACTTCCTCAGTGATCCCAGATTCACACCCAGACCCGCAGGAGACCTGGTTCAGGCCTAGTTCCTCAGAGGTCCTAGGCTCAGGCCCAGTCCCACGGGAGTCCTGGCTTAGGTCTACTCCCTTGAAGGTCCCAGATTCCCGTCCGGACCCTCAACCATCTCTGGCTCTGGCTCACTCACTCAGCGGTTACTCCCCTGTACCTGTTCCTGTGGAGTTCCCTGTCTTGGGTCTGCTCTGGCCCAGGTGGCTGGCTCAATCCCGGTCTGCCAATGTTCCTGAAGTGGATCCGCTCCTGCTCCTGCGGAGCTTGCTTCTTCAGGTCCACTCTGGCTTAGGTCCTTCTGCTTTATTTTAAATCCAAAAGAAAGAAAGGAGGAGCAAAGGGAAATAAAGGAGCACATATGGAGACCAAGGAAGAGGAAGCTATCTATTTGATTATCTTCACCAGTCTTGGCATCATTGTTTTTTAATTGTTTTCAAACCATCAATTGCTCGCTAAAGGTAAAGAGCAGCTGACCTGGGTAAGAGAGGGCATCTTAAGGCAAAAAGTGAGTTACCTCTGGGTGGCTGCTCTGGCTTGACCCTGTGTGCGGCAGCTGGGTAGGGGTGCTTATGGCAGGCAGAGAGAGTACACTTTTGATGGTAAGGCCAAGCAAGTCTTCTCGGTCTTCAGAGCCAAACAACAGGTTCATATCTTGGTAACTAGGGAGACAGTTTGGGAAGATTCTGATGTTAAACTGATACCTCAGCTCTGAAAGTAATCAAGAGGAAGGGCAAACTGGCTGGTGTAACACTCTGCCGGATCTCACAAAAGCTTGGAGGAAGAGTGTATCACCCAGCCCCACCCCCGCCCCTGGTGCACAATCCTTCCAGGCTCTTCTCCAGCTTAGCCACAAAGGGAAGCCTGCTGCACTCTAAGGCAGCAACTCACAATTTCCCCCAAGTGTGCCCTGATGAATGTAAAATGAGAGAGTTAAGGCTTCAACTACAGGCTATCTCAGAAATGTTAACTAGCATAGCTGCCAAGGTACAAGTCTCCAAGAGATGTAAACATCAGGTCCTCAGACCTGACATAAAGCATATATAAGACTCACTTTCCATTGAATATACTTTGGACAGAACTAAACTCCCAAGAGATTCTGTTAAGGTCTCTGAGACGTGGGTGGCAGCATTCATGCCATTCTAGTTTGTTTTCAATTGTGATAAAACACTGACCAAAAGCAACTTGGGAAAGAAAGAATCTTTTCATCTCACAGCTTACAGTCCATCATCTAGGGAAACTAAGCCAGGGATCCATGCAGGAACCTGGAGTCAGGAACTGAGGCAGAGATCAGGGAGAAATGCTGCGTACTGGCTTGCAACCAGTGCACAGTCTGCTACTTTTCTCACCTACCCAACAATGGCACCTCTCACAATGGGCCAGGCCTGCCTATATCAATTGTCAATTAAGAAGACACCTCATAGATAGGGTAATAAGGTTCCTTCTTCCTATGTGTGTCAAGCTGACAACTGCTTGTCAAGTTAAGATTTTATTGCTGTGAAGAGACACCATGACCGTGGCAACTCTTATATAGAAAACATTTAATTGGGGTGGCTCCTTCACAGTTTCAGTGGTTCAGTCTATTATCATCATGAAGGGAGCAGGGTAGCATATGGCAGTTGGGAGCTGAGAGGGCTACACCTTGTGGGCAACAGGAAGTCAGCTGAAAGTCACACCGAGGGAAGCTTGAATAAGAGAGGCCTCAAAGCCCACCCTCACAGTGACACAATTCCTCCAACAAGGCTACACCTCCTAATACAGCCACTCCCTTTGGGGCCATTTTCTTTCAAAGCACCACAACAATCAGGATTATCCATCACACATGATATTAAGGTTCTCATAAAAGAATATGGATTTGGATTTCCTATATTGTGGTAATTTCAATATAATTGGAATATTATTCAATATTCCAATTCAATATAAGCTCATAGGGAGTGGCACTTTTTGGAGGTGCAGCCTTGTTGGAGGAATTGTGTCACTATGGGGGTGGGTGTCTCAGTTCCCTTCCTGTTGCCTGTGAATCAGCGTGTAAGAACTCTCAGCTCCTTCTCCAGCACCATGCCTGCATGTTGCCTTGCTCTCTGCCATGGCAATAATGGACTAACCCTCTGAACTGTAAGTGAGCCATCACAGTTGGATGTTTTCCTTAATAAGAGTTGCAGTGATCGTGGTGTCTCTTCACAGCAATAAAAACCCTAATATACCCATATAATTAGTTTTCAAAAGTTAGATATATGGGGCATGTAAAAAAATTGCAGGTATTTATTTAGTGCTGGAGCAGTCAGGGATAAGCAATTGTTACAATACCTGTGTGGAAGTCAGAGAACAACCTGTGGGAGCTGGCTCTCTCCTCCTACTATGTGGGTTCCAAGGACCAACACCAGATCATCATCCTTGGTGGCAAGGACCTCTACTCTCTGAGCCATCTTGCCAGCCCTAAGTATGGAACACTTTAATAAGCTCTGGCAGTGTATGCCCCTGAATGAGAAACCAGGATGCATGTCTAAGGTGCATGTGGGCGTCACCTGAAGTCAGTGATGGTGACAAAGAGCTCCTGGCGCACCATGCTGGATAGACAGTCCAGAGGCTCCTCTTGGACCAGCACCTGCAGTGAGAAGGAAAGTACTTCATCCATCTGAAAACATAGCAGCTCACAAGGCCAGTCCCCAGAGATGTGAATGGTACATCCAAATAACAGGAGGCTGGCCAGGACAGTAACACAACGGTGGAAGAGCTAATTTCTTCTCAGGAACCAAGCTTCGACTGTCCTTTGGCCTCTTACTACATGTTTGCGCTGACTCATGCTAGTGAGCCTCCCTGTGCCTCAGTTTCCTCACTTATAAAATGGTACAACACTATGACTTATGTCATAGGCTGTTGTGTTAAGTGATAGACCCTGATAATTGTGTCAGCTGTTCATTGCCTTTATTACCAGTGATCAGTTCTAGTTTAGGTATTCTAGCTCCTCCACTAAACCAGGATCTCCAGGTCGGGTCATGCTGGCTGGTTTTACCTGTTAACTTGGCACAGCCGAGAACATCTGAGAGGGAATCTCCACAGGGGGATTGCTTCTATCAGCATGGCCTTTGGGTATGCTTGTGAGGGATCCTTTGGACTGTTACTTAACCCTGTGGGGCAGTATCAGGCCTCAAGCTGGGAGTCCTGGGATATGTAAGAGTGAAGAGGGATGGTGAAAAGCAAACAAGCAGGCAGCATGGTGCATCCATCCATTTTCTGTCCTTCCTTCCTTCCTTCCTTCCTTTCTCCCTTCCTTCCTTCCTTCCTTCCTTCCTTCCTTCCTTCCTTCCTTCCTTCCTTCCTTC